GATTTGCAGTAGTCCATGAAACTGATTCACAGCAGTTTTTACCATACCTTGTCCCAGGGTTGGGTGGCTGCTGCCCCCCCCCCCCCTCCCCACCCTCTCCCCTTGTCTCCACAGCAATACATTCTGATCTTGATGTCCATGGCAGCGCAGCTCTACAAACACCCCAGCATAAAGAATTCCGTTAACATGGTGGTCGTCAAGATGATAATCGTGGAGGATGAAGAATTGGGCCCCGAGGTCTCCAGCAACGGAGGCGTGGCTCGGAGAAATTTTTGCTCTTGGCAGCAACATCTCAATCCGCAGAGCCAGAGGCATCCGGAGCACTATGACACTGCCATGCTGTTCACCAGAGAGGTGAGGGAGCCGCACATCATCGGTTTAATTTCTTCGCACAGCAGGCGGCGTGCTCTTCAAGGTCCCTGCTATAAAACTAGCAATAAAGCCAGCATCATCTGCGTATAAAGACATAATATGTATTGATAGCAGGTGAAGATAAAAGTTCAGCCTTGAACACACGTTGCCACTTAACCCAAAGTTCATTGAGTTGCTGTCTATCTAGGCCTTTATTTTTCACTCCGTATGAGAAGAGGTCACAGCATTACCATGGACCTTTACTGAGAAAGTCAAAGGTCATTCACCCGGAGTTTGTCAGGGGCTGAACTACAATCACAGACAACACAAACCAAGGATGTCAACTTTAATTAAAAACAGGGATAAAGTCTTCATTCTACAACCACTTGTTGTAGAGTGATTCATGACTATGGCACGACTGAGCCATCGTCACAACAGCTCAGGGGAAAAATAGAGCTGAAGTGTAATGTGTTACATGTGTAAAACCACAATGGCTTTAGTAATGATCCTTGGGGAACATTTTCACATTTTCTTTTTTTTTTTTTAAAGATAAATATCAGCAGCGCCGGGTTTAATTACAGTGTTTCGACTCCTGAAAATGATGAATGTTTACAACACTCTTCTAAGAATTGTAATTAAGAGTTTCAACAATATGCTTTTTTTTTTAATTTTTTTTTTTTTTACAAACGTAATAGATCAAATGAATTACACACTCTCTGGCAGATTGTTCCGGATGTGTAACCCACACAGAATGACAACACTGCAATTCCCATCAGTGTTAGTCTTCACACCCTTCACTTCCAGAAAAAGATATACTCAGTATTTTTTCTGGAAAAAATGTCAAAACCACATGTGAAATAAGAAGAAAATCTAAATCCAAAAAGTTATTTTAACAACTGTCAGTTAAAACAACAACTTTTGTGGAGTTCTGCCCCAAAATGCCAGAAAAAAAAGAAAACTTAGAAAACTATGAGACTGTATTTATAGTCTAACTGCAACAGTGACTAAAGCCTTTTTTAATCAGTAAATAGACCTTGAAGTACCTGGAACAGTGTCTTAAAAAGAAAATGACATTTAAAGTCCATTCACCCATGAGACTCTGGTGGAGTTTACTTACTGTGAAAGGAGCAGCAACCCACTCAGAGTGAGTCATGAATGAAGCCTTGGTGGAACTGAGAGCAGCTGCGGTTCATTCTGTGGTTTCAGATGCATCACACTTGACCACACAGCAATTCACTGCAATAAGTGTTTTTTCAGTGACAGGTGAATTTACAATGAAAAAGTACAGTGTACCAGCAGACAGTGGTGGGTAGTAACAAGTTACATGAAACTAGTTACATTTACTTGAGTAAGTATTTCAAAATAAAATACTTCTAGGAGTAGTTTTAAATCACTATACTTTTTACTTTTTACTTTTACTTGAGTAGATTTATGAACAAGAAACAGAACTCTTACTCCGCTACATTAGGCTACACTGAGCTTGTTACTTTTATCAGAGATACTGGATAAAACTTTTCTAACCTGAGGAAATATCATGGCAAATTTGACCTAAAATTTTTTCTTTTGTTATTATGTAAATATTTAATTTTCTAGGTATTATTGCATTGATTTTTATTTTTTATTGAAGTACTTGAATTTACCTAAAGATTATTTTATTTTAAGGTATTTAATTATTTATATTTATTTTAATTATTTTATTCATAGGATAAACTCGCCTCTTTCGATTATTTTATTTTAAGGTATTTAATTATTTATATTTATTTTAATTATTTTATTCATAGGATAAACTCTCCTCTTTCTAATTTTGCTTTTCACTCTTACTCAAGTAATAATTTGGATGACTACTTTTTGCTTCTATTTGGGTAATATTATTCTGAAGTAACAGTACTACTATTTGAGTACAATTTTTGGCTGCTCTACCCACCTCTGCCAGCAGGGAGTTCCAGCTCCTCCTGCTGTTCTCTTTTAGTGTGGGCATTTTTTTTTATTTGCCTTTGTTAAAATTGAAAGTCATCTGTGCACAGGAAACAGGTTGAGAGCACTGGAAAGAAATGCAGTAAAGGTCATTCCATCTGGGAGTCGGAGTGATTACCAGCTGCTAAAGGCATTTTGTTCGTGTGCTGTAGCTGTAGCTGCTCGGCCACTTTAGTCAAATAAGAAAAAGAAGGTTGAGTGCAGACGATGGAAATGAGTGAAAAGATTAAATGAATGATGTGATTTTATGCCGGATGCATGGCAAGAATTTGTGAAGAAGTGGTTTATAAAGGACATGCCTTCAGGTCGATCTGTAATTGGCCTGTTCTTCCGTATTGGCAGCCTTTATTCGTCTGGTATCTTCAGCACTGACAGGGTGTTAACAGACAATACATAAGGTGAAAAATTGACATATGTCGGCTGAATACTCCGGTTGGAGCTTGACATTTATTTGCCTATTGAACAGAGTTTATATGCAATCAGGCGAGTCGTGAATCCAACATGTGGCTTTCTGCAGGGTTGAGTCGGATTCAAACAGCCCAGGGTGAGGAAACCATCGTTCACACCAGCCTGGTTTGTGTTTGTTTCCATTTCCACAGGGATGTGCTCCGAAGCTACTCTAGTGCCCCCTAAAGGCAGCTCATTGTGACAGACTTAAACTTCCAAAAGGGAAACAGCTCACAGGACAAACACGATTCAATGTTTAAACAAACGACTGCAGTTTGATGTGGTCCTTGAATGTGTCAAAGGTCGGTATCAGACTGTCAGCCTGATGGTGTCGATGGTGCTTCATTTTCAGGACATCTGTGGACAGAACAGCTGTGACACACTGGGCGTGGCCGAGGTGGGGACGATGTGTGACCCTAAGAGAAGCTGCTCCGTCATAGAGGACAATGGCCTGCAGGCGGCCTTCACAGCTGCACATGAGCTCGGTGAGATCACTGTCATTGTCATGGCGTCTCGGGAGCCATCTTTTTATTTACTGCAAAGTCTCATTTCTACCAACTGCGCCCTCTCCTGGCAGGTCATGTGCTCAGTATGCCGCACGATGACTCCAAGACCTGTGAGCGGCTGTTTGGGGAGCTGGGGGGACATTACCTGATGGCTCCCTTGTTCGTCAGCCTTAACGACACGGCGCCCTGGTCTCCCTGCAGCGCCCTCTACATCACAGAGTTCTTTGACAATGGACTCGGTAGGAAATGTTCCATGTTGGCTTTTCACCCCTTTTGAAAGTGACACAATGAGAAAGTGTGTGTGTGTGCCGCCCCACAGAGACCTGCTGCCAACCTCCACATCTGCCACAGCACTCTCTGTTATTAAAGCTGATGCAAAGATGATTAAATCTGCCAGTTCTTCTCCTCAGGACAGCATCAACTATGGCTGTCCTGCTTAAACATGTCTCTCCCTTCTAATTATGGGTTCTAACTTCCAGGGATTGTTTATCTTTGTCCTTAAATTACACATATTCTCTTCCCAAACACTCCCTCTCAATCCCCCCTCACTCCCCTTTTCCACCTTAGGGTGTGCATCACAAATTGTTTGTTTCCTTGCTCGACCCATCAGTCAACCTTCTTTCCCACTGACTCATACTGTGGACCTCTTCCTGTTCTGCATCTCTTCAGCCAAGAGCAACAGCTGGTGTCAGCAAAATAAGCTCTTTATCAGTTGAAAAATGCCTCCAAGAAAAGGAGTCATGTGGCTGAGAATGTTCATTCCAAACGCTGGGTGTCATGGATAGTTCCAGAACAAGGCTGGGCTAATGTAACAGGGAATCGGAGAAAATTTGCATTCAGACTGAACTGTCACATGTCCAGATCGACTGGGAGACGAGGGACACGAGGCTGCCTGTTCAGTCCGCCGCGTTAGTTTGATGTAAACAGCTCATTCTCACACTCGGAACGTGGCGGTGCCAAGAATATTTTCCCACTGTTGTCATGTCACACGCAAAGAGCACACAGCTAACGATTGTCACAGTGGACCGCTGACAGCTTCATAATCACAGTGTTCAGTCTCATACAGCGTTTCTTTGTATTGTAACCACAGGGGACTGCCTGCTGGACGTGCCCGAGAGTCCCATGCCATTACCCAGTGAGCTTCCAGGCATCAAGTACAGCCTGGACCAGCAGTGCCAGCAGATCTTTGGAGAGGAGTTCTCCCACTGCCCCAACACCTCAGACAGTGACGTCTGCAGCCAGCTTTGGTGTCAGGAGGACGGGACCACACAATGCACCACCAAAAATGGCAGCTTGCCCTGGGCAGACGGCACCCCCTGTGGCCTCAACGAGACCTGCCTCCGAGGAACATGCATGCCAACCCAGGAGGTGATGCGACCACTGGTAAGAGCTGTTCTTTTGAATGATAAAAAAAAAAAAGTTCTGTCAAGGATTTAGACTGGGATTATGGAACAACTGGGAGGAGAATTCATGGAAACTGGGAAGTGAAAACAAAAATGTGACTGCATCTGAATGAACGTGACATAAAGACACATTTTACTGTCCATCGACATGTTTTCTGTTTTAAAACTTTATGATAACATTCAGTGTATAATGTATGTGAGGGGACACTGTTTGATTGGCAGTGGAGATCTAACTTGTTTCAGTTTAAATGATAAACAATTCTGCTCCTTCTCTTCATTTGAACCGATCCTGGTTGCCTGGAAACACAGGGAAATGACGCAAACGCTACAAACTTGCGGTCTACAGCAATCCTCGCCGCAGTGTCAACATGTGGCCTTTCTGGTTGAAAAACAAAGCTTTGCTGTGAATAGTAATTACAATAACTCGATGATTGACGAGTTTTTTTTACGGTGGTGACGTTTCACTCCTTTTGATTATGACATTTCTCAGAGTTCTAATTGGCTTAAAAATACTGGGATACTTGACAGACAAGAAATTTATAGTGAGATACCCACAACAAAAACTGCTGAAGAATTAAAAAAAAAAGTCCTGTCATGCAGTAGTTGGGAAAATCAAATAATGGTTATACTGCAGTATCATGAATAAGTGTAGTGTAGTTTTTACACACATGCACAACAGTCAGTAATGCTGTAGACCAGCGGTCCCCAACCTTTTTATGTCGTCCGGTATCAGTCGTTACTGCATTTCAGAGTCTGACTGATTATATTTTCATGAAAAACTAAAGGCATATAACTGGATTCTAGTCAAACTGAAGTTCATTTTTTTTAACTGTGTCCCACTGCGGCCTTACAGACCTGCACCGGTCCCCGGACCGGAGGTTGGGCTCCCCTGCTGTAGACCATATGTATTATTTAAGAGAAAACCTGGGCGTGTGTCTCTGACAGGGCTTTTCAAATCTTTTGGATGCCATTACTCTGCTCAGTGAAAGTTTTTTTTTTTCCGGCCCTGACTCAGTCTTTCCTCCTCACCACTCCACGAGTCGCACCAACAGCCAGCTTCAAATGAACAAGAGGCCCCAAGGTGGTCTTGATAAAAATCAAAGCCGTATTTTCCAAAGCTAAATTCTTTCGGTATCAAATACCCTCTCTCCGTGATTCTCCTGACAGTGTTTCCATGGTGGAGTTGTACTTTTGTACCAAAAGGGCAGTCGTTTTGGAAAATACACCCTGTTCTGAAGACTGTTACACCCTGGACACACAAGTACTGTTTTTTATGAGAACGGCAGCACTGAGTCTTACCAATTGTTTAACCCAAGCCTTAAAAAGTGCATAATTCAAAAAATATAAAAAAAGTGAAACCGTGGTTATCACGCTACACTTTCAAACTGACCAGATGTCGGAAAAACCATTGTAAACGTTCAGACCACATTAGCGTCGTCTTGATGCACCTTGACCTGAGTGGAACTCAGTTACTCCCTGAATTTGGTACCATGTTATGTTTAATATGTTTTTGTAGAACTTCCTGTACTGTATATTTAAAGATGACGATGAGAAACTGAAGGTTTTTTTTCATCTTTTCGCTTCGAGTTTTTGGTCCTGACTGGAAAACAGTTCGGACAATGCAGAGAAAATAAAATTATTTTGTTAGGTTTATTGTCTGTACACTGAGACCATGGTCAGTGATGGAAGCCTGAATACATTCATGCATTTATTCACTGTTCGCACATATATCTGTGTGTAAAAGTCCAAATATTTATAGCTTTGAGGCATTTGGTCCTCAAGATGTTTTGGAACTTCTTGGGAAGTCCCGTAAATACCAGGAAAAAAGGAAATTCGACCTTCTACAATTCTGATAAATTGGGGAAAATTCAACTTTTTCTGAAAGAGTTATTGTGTCTTAAATAAAAGCTAAACTGTAGAGCCGTTCCAGTCAAAGCTTTATCTCCAAAGTTACATAAAATTGAAGACGACACTAAGTGCACTGTTTGATTTGTTGCAGTGGAACAGAAAACATGGTGTCATGGTGGCTTCAGGGAGTCCGACTTCAGCTGTTGTCTTTTTATTTTTTATTAAAAACATTTATTCCTTAGTGTTTCAGTGTTAGGTCGATGGCCCTAACGTCTTCTTCTGTGTTACATAACCACACATCTGCTCCAGAACCAGGATCTTGTTTGGTTCAAACCCGTAAAAAACAAAATCCCAACAGGGCGATGTAACACGCGCGTTTTATTTGGGCCTTTCCAAACGGCAGGTTGTACTAGCAGTGAGTGACGCATGTGGCAGGAACGCGGGCAGAGGCAGACAGCAGGCACGTGCCGCACTTCAGCACAGTTTGGCCTGAGTCACAGCGCGCCAATACACTAAGCGGACTAAAACCCAGAAGCCCAGACTGTGGTTTGGACTGAGCCGCTGAGATTGCCTTTGGCACTGAGCGCTGACCAAATACTCTGACAGCTCTTTTTTCTCCCTCCTCTTGCTTGTGTTTTACCACAGGTGGTTGTGGACGGCGGCTGGAGTTCGTGGGGACCGTGGCAGCATTGCTCCAGAACGTGTGGGGGGGGAGTGGAGTTCTCCTACAGGGAGTGCAACGATCCTGTACCACAGAATGGAGGGAAATACTGTGAGGGCCAGAGGATGAAGTATCAGTCCTGTAACACTTCACCGTGTGATGATAATGGTAAGAATCACCACATACAGATGGTGGCGCTCAAGGGCAATGATATCAAATTTAAAAAAAAGAAAAGAAAACTACACCTGGTTTCCTATACCGGAAAGAAAGTGTCAAAGTGTCTAATTTTATTAGCAATAGTATTTTGGTGTGTGTTTTTTTTTTTTAGAAGGAACTAATTTTAAAAAATGATTTGTTTTTATTGGTATAAAGAAAATGAGAAGTAAATCGCAAAATAAAGAAATAAATCTTAAAGCAAACCAAAAATAAGAAACTTTCTTTCTGTTCTGCACAAGTTACACTTTTATTTGCCTCGACAAAGAAATGGAATATAGATAAATGTTATTGTTATATTATTAGCTGATAGTCAGCAGATGGACAGTGTTGACCTACACTGTGTCTGTCTTTAATCGACAGGGAAGAGCTTCAGAGAGGAGCAGTGTGAGAAGTACAACAGCCCCCACTATCTGGACTACAATGGAAACATGAAGCAGTGGATACCAAAATATGCTGGCGTCTCTCCCAGAGATAGATGTAAGCTGTCCTGCAGAGCCAGAGGCAGCAGTGAATTCAAGGTGTTTGAGTCCAAGGTAGAGTATCTTCAGAGTCTACTCATTCAACACAGGCAAACCATTCATTAAGTTAAGGCGGATAGAAATGTTTTCTTGGCTTTGACACAGGAGTCCCATCAAAAACGTTAAGGTTGAGGTGAAGTTTGAAGTTCCAAAATAACTCGATAATAACTTGCTAATAAAAATTTAACTGACAAAAAAATATATATTCCCTCCTCTATATAGCTATGCTGCAATATAAATGTATTTTAACACACCTTGTTAACACATGTTTAGCTCTGGTGGGCCATGTAAGTTGATGTGGCGGGCTGGATTTGGCCCACAAGCCTTGAGTTTGCCTTTATTGTTTTAAAACAAATATGTAAATAAGCATGAGTATTAGTGTCAATAATTTATAAACATATTAGACTATCCAAAGATAGAGTAAAGATAAGCATGAGTATTAGTGTCAATAATTTGTAAACATATTAGACAAAAACAAAGCTGCCTAAAACGTTGAGCAAAGACAAACCTTCCATGTACATTCTGACCGTACAGCGTCAGCTTTAAACCAACAGCTGTTTTATCAACACACCATCTTTTTTTCCCCCTGTAAAGCAGGTGATCGATGGCACCACCTGTGGCCCTGACACCACCTCTGTGTGCGTCCAAGGCCAGTGTGTGAAAGCGGGCTGCGACCAAGTGATTGGGTCCAACAAGAGAGTCGACAAGTGTGGGGTGTGTGGAGGAAGTGGGCTGAGCTGTAGAAAGATCACAGGCTCCTACAACAAACTGACGTAGGTGGAGAGCTGGAGTTTGTATTTACAGGAAACTGTTTTCTGTTTAGTCTGTTTTATAATGTTGTCAAAATAAAAGCACGTTTGATGACATTTTTTTAAGTTCTGCAAATGTAGAGCATGGGATAAAATTCTAAAAATTAAAAACATTTACCTGAAAAAACAATTTAATAATAATTAACAGGATCATTTGTCAGTTTTCATGAGGCAAATGTGTCACTTGATTTCTTTTATTATTATTATTATTATTTATTATTATTAATACTAATTCAGTGATGAAAGATGAAAGAATCCATTGGTGCATTTTCAATAGTAAGGATATAACTTTTATGAACCTGTGATAAATATAAATGAATAAATGTAAATATTTATTCAACTCTGTATGTAAAATTATTATTGACCATGAATAATAATTTAAATGCATTTATAAATTAATGTTTAAAAGAACATCAGCCTTTCATTCTGGTAAAAAAGGTGTGGGGATTTCTGGTTAACATCAGCCTTTCATTCTGGTAAAAAAAGGTGTGGGGAAAAACAAAAGTAACATTTAAAGAAGAAATTAAATAAAATTCCTGTTCCACACGTGATCCATATCCACTTCTTTTCTCTCTCCAGCTATGGATACAGTGACATTGTCACAATCCCCATTGGTGCCACTAACATCGACATCAAACAGCGGAGCAACAGAGGTTTTAAAAATGATGGGAACTACCTGGCAGTGAAGAGAGAGGGCGGCAGCTACATACTGAACGGTAACTTCTCTGTATCCACTGTGGAGCAGCACATCCCGGTGCTGGGAGCTGTGCTGAAGTACAGCGGCTCCTCCACCACTCTGGAGAGGATCCAGAGCTTCAGACAATTGAAAGAGGCCATCACCATCCAAATCCTGGCCACTGCCGGTGACTCCAACCCACCAAAGGTTAAATACACTTTTTTCATTCCTAGAGATGTGGCCTTAAACAAATTCAAGGATAAAAAAGGTTTGTCACCGTCTCTGCACGTCATCCATCCTTTTGGCACGCCAGAGTGGGTGCTGGGGGAGTGGTCTGAATGCTCCAAGAGCTGTGGTTCTGGGTGGTCCAGGAGAAACGTTGATTGCCTCGACATTGCAGGCTTCCTCTCCAACCAGTGCGACAAAGACCTGAGACCTGTGGACATCAGGCCTTGCGGGGATGTGCCGTGTCCCATATGGCAGTTGGGACCTTGGTCCTCCTGCTCACGAACTTGTGGCCAGGGGGAGCGGCGTCGCAGCGTCTTCTGCATAGACTACACAGGGAAGACTACTGATCCAGAGAAGTGCGATCCCAACAAGGTCCCGCAGACCGTCTTTGGAGACTGTTTTAATCAGGAGTGCTTATGAGGAACACCAATTTTGAAACGGTCTAGCTGCACTTACCAAATACAGATGGATGACAACAACACACGCAAGGCACAGGCCTCGTGAATAGCAGACGTGATGAGAGAGAGAGAAAGAGAGAAAAAAAACCCACAAGGAGACACAAAACAAATGCAAAATGGTGTAAGAGAGATCAGCAATGAAACAAAATCTCTTCAGCGTGACACAGATTGACCACAAAGACAGAGTGAAATGACTACTTTGTGCAAACTCAAATAAAAAAACCCATAATAACCCATGAGAAAACCAAAACAAACACACAAAATGACCACCAAATGAGAAAGTGATACTGAACTACCAATAAATCACGAGAGAAGAAAAACAAAAAAGAATAACTGCACAGAAAACGACATCAGATTGGTGCAAAACTAGAATTACTTCTTTGTGGCGTACATAAATTATAGAAAAAGTAAACAAATTTAAAATACATTTTTAGTTTTAATGTATCTCCACATGTGGCACGTCCTCATCTGAAAACTTTGGGTCTTGAACAGGTTTGTGGCCGCGGGCCCAGACACTGGGTTCCAATATATTCATGTTTCCGACTTGTGGCATCAAAGGCCTTTGCCTATTTCTTGTCATTTTGTGTTGACATTTAACAACCACTATTGAAACAATGAAAATCTACCTCATGTGATGTATGTATAGAGGAAGGTGCTGTACGTGTATGTGTGAGTGTCTAGGAACTTTTATTGTCCTGCTTTCTGGGTACTCTTTGCTCACTTCTGCCGATTTTTTTTTTTTTTCCGTCTTTGTGATTTAGTTATCCTGTGGGATGGGGCATTTAAACCTGCTGTCAACAGCTGCCCAGTGAAAATACAGTTTACCTCCATTCCTCCTTCGGTACCCTCTGCGCTTTAAAAAGCTTTGACCCAAACATCAACTGTAATTCACGTTTCCTCACACACAGCTCTGTATCCCCATGAGTGAGCCGCAAGGACAACGAGTCGAACGCAGACCACTATGATTTCTGTTGTGTTGGCAAAACTCCGCCGCCTGTGTGTGTGTGATCGTATTTTGGATCATACACACACACTGTACTGTATGTGTAAGCACATTCAAGTCATGGCACGTCCGCAATAATAATAATTTAAAAAAAGAGCTAGCCAAAATAAGCTATTTGATGTAATGTAAAAATTAGGCATACTTTTTTTATTATTTTTTTTATATATATATAAGAAATCATAAATATATAAATAATTACCAACTTGGTGTGGTGTTGTGATTAAGTTGAAAGTCAACCAATGAAACTGTTTACTGTTCAAAGACCTTAACATATGTCACTCTCCGGCCCTGTAGACGTTTGTTAAAAGGAAATGTATAATACAGGAAACCAACGGTACAAACATTTGACAGTGCAAAACAAAGTTAATTTGAGGTAGGTTTTTGTAACTAAGTTATTATCATATTATCTTTTATGTACTATAAGATGAATCCATGATTTTTATTCATTTTAAGACCTATATATTAAGCATCCTATGCAAACCATCACAGTTGTTTTCAAGTTCTAGTGTGTATATTTGATTCTTCTTTTCTTTTCTTTTCTTTCATTCCTGTTGTTGATTAGAAGACTATATTCTATAGCAGATGAAGTATTAGGCCTATATCCCTTCAGTGAAGGACCATTCTTGTTCTAGTATTACAGCTTCCTTTTTAAGCTATTTATTTTTGTAAAGTTTTTATCTTGGATATGTTATTAAAATGGCAAATGCTGCTGTCATTTGGGATTATTTGTCATGAAAAGGTCAAATAAAGACATTTATGTCAAAATGTTGCCGTCCTTTACTGATTCTTATCGTCCACAGCAACTGCAGGCAACTCTCTCCAGAGCAGCACAAACCGCTTGATGTCGATTGGTTATTGTTTCGCAGTGTTAAAGCACTACAATCAGGGGAAATATTATAACAGTAATGAGAGATACAGTAGAAGAAATTTGGGAGGAACCTCCTTTTGACAGGAGCAGGAACAAGGATTACTTAATGTTGTATTTTTATATTTAGTCTTATTCTATTCACAGCTGTCTGACCGCGGAAAATGTAAAAATCATAACGAACCATAAATGTCAATTTGGTCATAATATCGTCAACATCATTGCCATTATTTCATTTGCAGGCCACCAGACTGAACGGGTGTGGGTATGTGAGAAAAAAACATTTAAACAGAAAGATTACCTAAACTCCTGCTCTTTAGCTTTAGAGGTCTAAAGTGTGTATGAGGTTAGCTGTGGTTTGGTGGGTAGAGTGGAACCTCTTCCGACCAGAAAGACTGGGGTTTCAATTCCGGCTGGTGTGTGAGCCAATGTATCACTGGACGAGTTATTTATAACTCCATTGCCAATCATACCCAGACGTGGAGGTGGGACTTTAGTATAATTAGTCCCAGCTGGAATAAATAATGAAAGTTGCGTCAGAAACAAATCATCTTTTGTCTTTTCTAGAAGTTCCGTCGTTTCTAGAAGTTCTGTTGCATTTGTAGAAGGTATGTCGGTGATTTCTACGCAGTTTGTTTTCCCTCTTTTTTAACAAATAACAGTGTGTCGTCTGGGTCAGATTTTTAAAAATCTGTGATCTGTCATCAGTTCCAACAAATACTTCTTTCCACCACTTCTCAATTTTTCACATGTTTTTGTTTCAATAGCACTTCCAATGAAGAATAACTCAGCAAAAACGTGAAGATAAGAGTGAAAGAACGGCAACTGAAAACAGGTGTTTGCACCAGAGCTTTTCTTTTTCTGTCAGTTCCTCAGGTTTATTTGGCGTAACACTGTATAAAACAACAAAAAAACCCAGCTGACACTATGTCCACCTCCAGGACTGCTTCAGTCTGCAGTGTCAGGTTGCAAACTGTGCTTCTGTTTAACTACAAAATACTTTTTTTAATGTTCAAAAGCAAAGAGAAGAACAATAACACATTAGCAACATACTAAAAAAGCATTTTATTTTACCTTTTGTGTTTGTTTGTGTCTCTGTCACCAAGAAAGAGTTTGTGGATGCCAACCCAGCCATGATCATGTTGCGTTGCTTTTGTAAAGATATTTTGAACATGTTTACAGGTGAAAAGCACACCCCAGATACTGAATGTGTATACTGTATATCAAGTTGACTGATGAGTTGAGTTTACGATAAGGTAGGACAACTTGAGTTTGTTAGATCAAATGTCGTCTAATGGATTTACAATGACATAGACTGTTCCTAGACTGGCTCCAACACAGGTATGTTGTTATCAAAGCAATTTGAATGGAGAGCCCAGATTGACATTATTAGGATTGACCCTACTCCCTGATTTTACCTTTTTGAAGAAAAGGCAGTAGTAGATAAATAGGTTATTTATCTAAAAAATAATTACACAAGATCTAATACATAAAGTGAGTGAAAGAGTAACCATGCATGTGTTCATAGCCCAATAAGAATGGGCTATGACAGGTGATGTTAGGTAAGCCTACATGTTCATGACTGTTCACTAAATGTGAAATATACAAGCAGCAGGGATTCATAAGCTTGCATCAATTTATTAAAATAACGTGAGACTTCCTGTTTCTTCCAGTACAGTACAGTGAGGGGTGCGCGTTGCATTGTGGGGATAAAAATAGAGCGCAGAAAAAGCAGCTGGCGACTGGAGCACAAAGGATTTATAAAAGGAACTTCTAAGATTTTATATGCCAATGTACTGCGATGTTAATGCACGTGAGGGAAACCCCGTCTGACTCTGAACTTTGCCAGTGGCAGTGTGACAATCTGCCCGTGGAGGAATGTGAGTGAGCGGTGTGGAGGAGCAGAACGCACCGCTGTCTCTAACCGTGGCTGCTTTTGTCAGCGGTGCCGTTCTAGAGGCAACCTGAGGCCCACTCGTTTCCACAGGCCTCATCCCTTAAGGTACAGCTCCGCCGTAAACTTTGTGTCATTACGGTAAAGCCACACAGTTTTTGCTCGCGCTGCGTCAAATAATCTTCACAGCGTCCTCTCGAAAACACAAAACAGCGTGTTATGCTATGCCAAGTTAGTAAACGCTGGCTCGTTAGCAAACGGATGCTAATGTTATGCAGCTGCGGGGTTATCCCCGGTCAAACCGGATACAAAAGCGTGGACCTTCAAAATAAGTTGCCTCGCTTGATATTAGTCCTCTTCGTCCAAAAGATTTTAACAAAGACAGTTCTATTTATGTTGCACTATGCTGACGCTGAAAGTATTGCCATAATACAGAGAAACTACTGCCATAATATAGGTAAATATTACAGGACTGATTATTAAGTTGTCGGGAGAAATATTTTAAAATGGTATGCTTTTAGTAAATGTCCAGGTCGCCTTTTTAATCACAAAACATTAAATATCAACAGTATCTTGATGTATGTTTTTTTTTCCTGTATTCACTTAATATATTTTCATCATTATTCCATTCGCTTTTGTTGTTGTAATACATAGTCCTTTTATTTTGGTAGTTAAAATCGGGTGTGCTTATATTAGATTCTGAACTTGACGTTGTTAGCATGTGTTTGCTAAATTGAGCTTGTTGACAGATTTTTTTTTTTGTCCAGCAACCTAATTGCCGGGCATTCATTATCTGTACGTTACACATTTGCTCAACCGATTGCTGTAGTCCTTATTTTTAATGTCGTACCTGGTTTCATTTCTACAAATAGTGACGATAACAGTTTACTGTACAACCAATTGTAATACTTCGAGATACATTATAACATTATAACAATGCAAGTTGAAAAATACTAATACAGATTAGGACACAATTTAAATAGCTATAACAAGGTCCTCACTCTAAATATTTAAAAGAGATTATTTTTTAGGTATTTTTAGCTTCCCAGAATGCGTTGGAAATGTTATTGTGGAGCTTACATTTTCTTCATAACAGTCTTAAACAGTCTGTAGGTACTTTATATTACACACGTGTTGTGTTTGAATACCAACAAAAATGATGTCATGAAAAACAGTGCCTTGTTTGTTGCTCCAATTTCTGTTTTAATGTTTAACATAGTATGCAAATACATGTTTTTATTTGGTTAAATGGTCTCCAACAAACACGTGTATTTAAGTGTATTTGCATATATCTATAAACACACGAACAGACTTCATATTCATATTATATTTGCCACCATACTTATCTGTTTTGCACTTGTAGGATTGAAAAATACAGTATCGTGTTTTCTCAGCTTTACCAAGGAAAATAAATCCTTGTTATTTTTCCTGCAATGAAAAAAGAATCCCATGGCGTTTTAGCTCATTTAATATTGAGCCAATCACGTGAAACAGGAAAACCAGGAATAAACCCAATAACCCTCAAATGTCCATTTGTGGTGCCTCTTTACTGCCATTAGAATGATCAGTGAATTTCATAAGACATTTAGTTGAATGAGTTTGTTGTATAACCATTTATTAGACCATTTATTACAAATTGTAAACACTGGCCCACAAATGTGTTCAATGGCTTGGATTTCTAAACAAAGAAGGAAAATAAACTTGCAGCACATTCTCCACTTACAGTTAAATGTGCCAATAAGATCCTTTTGTTTAGTTTTCTTGATGCAGCCTCTTCATTCAGTCTGAAATATAAAGTATGTAGTGACCCTGAGCTGCAGTTTGGAGGAGTCTTGTGTGTCATTTAACATATTTACTCAGAACAAAATATGTAACTCTGTAACATTCTCTGTGCACACAAGGTCACTACTCTCTCAACCTCGCTTTGACTTTTACAGCTATTTGTAAGAACTCAATATCATTAGGATTACTAAGGCCAACCGTTACAATTATGAAATGATTATAAAATATTATTAAACAATTATGCACCACACATTTGTTAAGGCATAAGGACCTTTAAATAAAGTAGTAAACAATTATGCACCACACATTTGTTATATAAGGTATAACAACCTTTAACTAAAGTAAAAACGTGTGTCCGTTGGTTTTGTGATGTTGCACCACAACAGACTCGGTCTTTAATCCACTTTGCCTTCACTGGGCCCACACAGACCAAGAGTGTTTTTGTTCTGTCTGTGTGCGCGAGTAAAAGAGAGAAAGAGGGTAGGCGAGTGCACTCTCCCTGCGAGAGCCCCTTCACATGAGCCTTTGTTTGATGGAAAATCTCATGCCTCAAAGAATCCACATGTCTCGCAGACAGCTGCTGAGCATCCTGTAGTGCACTGGCCTCCACATGGGTCTGGCTCGCATCACTGCTCATCTGCTTTGATTGTTGTTGCATAACTTGGCATTTTGTCCTCCATGCCCCCTTTACCTTTCCTTCCCGTCAGAGTGGAGAGAACACCTTAGTAATTCTGCCTACGTGCCTCCACTGCCTCTTACAATGAAGCAGTGTCCTTAGTCATGGTTTTCTTATCATATTACTAATGCTGTTAGACAAGTTGTTTTTCTTCTTTGCACTTGAATGAATCTGTTGTGATATTTTAACAAATGCTTTTCACATTCTGTGACATAGTTTTATCTTCATTCTTAGATATATTTAAAAAAAAGAATATTTGGGGGAGAAAAGAAAAATCTACATTTAAGCCTGCAAGCAGTGTTTAAAACAAAAGATTTCTGTGACATAGTTTTATCTTCATTCTCAGATATATTTTTAAAAAATTCTACATTTAAGCAGTGTTTAAAACAAAAGATTCTGTGGGGTCTTCGTCACCACCTGCGTCACTGGGCCACTTGGCTAGGTTCAATAATTTAACAGGATTAAAATTGTTTTAAAATGTGTCAAATTGTTTAGAGACAGGTGAGAGACGTATCTTAACATGTTTAAGTTTTTAAAAGAAACACACCAGATTATTACAGTTTTCACCCTCACAGTTTGTTTACATCACGATCATGCAGCAGCAATGACCCGTGAGTAGTCGCACACGAGTTAAACATAAACTGGAGTTTGAGTAGAGTGACTATATAATCAAACAGTTTGCAGTAATGCCACGTACCGCCAGCTCTTTTTACTACTTGTAAATACAAGATCTGAACATCTTTACCTTTTTGTTTCCTTTGCAGAACACAATCACTGATTAGAGTCAAGAAGTGGCTCCAGGATGGGGGTCAAAACATTTACTCACAGCTCGACCTCCCACAGCCAAGAAATGCTGGAGAAGCTCAACGCCCTACGCAACGAGGGTCACTTATGCGACGTCACTATCAGAGTCCAAGACAAGCACTTCTTGGCCCACAAAGTGGTGTTAGCCTGCTGCAGTGAATTCTTCCGCTCAAAACTTGTGGGCCGGGCAGAGGAAGAGGACAAGTTTGTTTTGGACCTTCATCACGTGACAGTTAGTGGCTTTGCTCCACTTTTGGATTACGCATACACGTCCACCCTCTCCATCAGCACAGAGAATATCATCGATGTCTTGGCAGCCGCGAGTTACATGCAGATGTTTGCCGTGGCGAGCACATGCTCAGAGTTCATGAAATCGAGTATTCTGTGGAGTCCAAGTAGTAACAGCAACAATAATAACAACATGCCATCCAATAAAGCGCACGAGTCAGCACAAGAAGGAGCCTCGTCAAACTGTGTTCTGACACCACTGGATGGCAGTGTTTCACCAGTGTCATCCGACTGCAGCGTGATGGAGAGAAACGTTCCAATTTGCCGCGAATCACGGCGGAAACGCAAGAGCTTTATAACCATGGCGTCACCAGAGAGCCCGCTTAAATGCACTTCACAGATTGTCACCAACTCACCTCAGATCCCCAACCCTTCCCCATCCTTCACGGACAGCACAGCCCAGCCGGTGGAGTCCTCCCTGGCCTTTCCATGGACTTTCCCATTTGGTATCGACAGAAGGTTCCACTCGGACAAATCCAAACTGGTGGAGAGCCCTCGATGTTTAGAGCAGGGACCTACGGGGACCGCAGAGGCGGTCAGCCGCCGCCTCAGTGATTTCCTCACATGTGAGAGTTCGAAGGCCGTATCGTCGCCAGTGCCAGCAGAAGAAGAAGATGTTAGGGTAAAAGTGGAGCGACTTAGTGATGAGGAAGTCCAGGAGGCATCTTCTCAACCAGTTAGTGCCTCACAGAGCTCTCTGAGTGACCAGCAGACAGTGCCAGGAAGTGAACAGGTGCAGGAGGAGCTTCTCATCAGTCCACAGTCTTCTTCTATAGGTTGGTCTATTTGTTTGTTTTTTTTAGCAAGAGCTATAGTTAAATATTAATAATAGATTCATTCGTTTTTCAGGTTTAATTCAGTATGCTACTACTGTACTGTCTGATGCACTCTAGTATTAGTCGCATCTAAATGTGTCGGAAGAGAAAAATACATTAACGTAACAGTTCAACAACTTCCTGATCTTATTCCACTTCACTGAATCCAGTCATCATCAGTGTTGCTTCTAAACAAGCAACAACAACAACTCCAGAGGAAGATGAAGCTCCTTCTCTTCCTCTGCTGGACTGATATCAGATTCACCACTAGCATCAATTCAGATTTGTTCAAATACTTGTATGGCCTTTCAGTTTTTTCATACTTTATTATTTTTTGTGCAACTCTTATAATTTCGTTTCTGTAATAATTCACAGGCCTCCTGAGTGACATTTGTGGACGTTAACATACAAACATCTAAACAAGGTTAAGACTAAAGTGCATTTCTTAAGTCGAATGATTCTATAGAGCAACAGAACTATATTCAATGTAAAGATAGAGCGAGTCATGACTCAGTTAACCCAGTCTTTTAGGGCAGACAAACTTTTCCATTTGGGTTTTTGGTAGCGTTCAAAGTCAGCGGTGAATAGTATTGTTGTGTTGTCTTAATGCATTTTCTTTTTTTTTTCAAAGGAAAACTTTTTTTTCCATAGTATTGAATAGCACACTTGGCATTTGTATCAGCCAGACACACTCTTTAAGTCCTCCAAAGCCCTGCAGTATGAGCCTCACGTCATCTCAGATTAGTTGCTCCAGGCTTTGTTCCATGGTCACACTGTTAACAGTCAGGGACCATAAGAGCAACTTTGTTTGGTGTCTCTCTTTAGGGTCAATGGACGAGGGAGTGTCTGAGGGGTTGCCGTCCATGCAGAGCACCTCTAACGCTGGAGGACATGCAGAAGATGATGAAAGGTATCATGATTTGTTGCAACTTGCAGAAAGGCAAGTCACAGGCAGTGGGAGACAAACGTACGTGTAAAGCTCATAACTCTATGTTCAAACACTGGTGGGAAAAAATAAATGTACTCATTGTTTGCAAGTCGGAACGACACGACAAACAGAATTAAAGAGAAGTGTCAACATCAGTGACATCACCTGCTGGTTGTTATTTACCAGCTCTGTTGCTATAAACAAAAAATAGCTTCCCTTATGAATAGATTTGTTTAAAAGAAAATTGGATTTGGTTGGCATTTTGTGAATGGGAATCATGATTACTCATCCATTTATAATTTTTATTAAATTTTTTAGCAACCTTTTTATTAACAAGTCTCTGTAAATGGAACGTATCAATTTAAATGCATTCATTCCTGAACCTACAATCCTCTGAGAGCTGAATACGAGAGTAATTGTTAGAAATATATTCTACCATAGTCATTCAAAAGCACAAAATACTGGAAGAGATAACAAAATAAAAATATGTCTGTATTTTAGCTTAGTTTAACAATTAACCATTTGATTTCAGCACTGCAATACTTACATGATCCACCAGAGGGCCTCTTACATAGGTTCTCTTCATGAAATGTGTTAAAATGCACATACATACATTTCATTAAGAGAAC